CTATCCAGGTTGCCAAATTAGTAACAAAAGGCAGGCAAACTCCACCAATCAAGGGAAGATTTTCTTAGTTTATTTTCGCAAAACCATGAGCATGATTTTAGTCTTATCTGGACTGAATGTCAACTGCCTTGCCCTCATCAAAATACCAACCCCAGCAAGATGTTGGATGAATTGGTAAACTGCTCTCACTGCATCTGATATAAAGAACTAAAACTGGTTGTCATCAACGTATTTCAGGCATCAAATCCCATGCCAGCTCACTGCCTCCATGAGGACCTTGTTATGACTAGAAAAAAAGGTTGAGTTTAGATTAGATTTTGCTAATACAAGCTAGCCAACCTTCATTGAAATTCAACCATGTTTCTTAGTGTAGGTTCATGGTCACCCATTTAACTTGAATTTAGCAGGTCAAGTTATAGCCTTGGTAGAAGCAAAGTGAACTTCTGCCTAATTATGACGCATCCATTGCCTAATTTACCAACTAATTTAGGGCCTGCTGCCATGTCGTTTCCTATAGAAGCCAAGTTAACTGCCACAGAATTTAGGTATTGCCCTAGGAAATCCTACTATATTTCTCAGAATTCTGAGATTCTAGATTATACTAAAGGTGAAATGAGACTGTCAGAAACCAATACTTGAAAATTTTGCAATTACCCATTGAACCAGTGCAAGCAGGAAATTGTTTTCTTTTTCTCACCTCTAAAAAATATAGTTTCCATGTGTTTAATTGGAATGGAAATTTATTTCACAACTAAACCAGAGGGTTACAATTTGATTTCATGAAACATATACACATTTAAATGGCAAGCCAGTCAGCTTCACTCCAGTTAATAATTCAGTTTATTCCAGTAAATTTAGTATCCCCCCCAAAGATGTGCAGGAGGGAGAGAAGAGTGTATAATTAACAATAAAGTTATCCTGTTAATAGATGTCACACATTTGAGGTTTGCAGCGCAGGGAAAGAAGTCAGCAGAAGGTTGAGAATACATGTATGCATTTTATTATACAACCAGTAGTACAGCATATAATACATTTGGACCACCAAGGCTGCCTTAACAAAGAAACCACTGAAACCATTTGTTTGAGTTTTTCTTGAACCGCCCCCCCCCTCAATATAGTCTATGTTAAAAAGAAAAATCCAATATGGCCAGAAAACTCTTTTCTTGACTTTTGTTGCTGCAGAAATATATTGAAAAGATATCTGCTTCCTTTTAAAAGTGTTGTATGATAATTAAACATTCTTCCATAACTCAGCTATATAAAATTAGAATATGAAGTTATCAAATATTCATCTATAGCTGGGGAGGTCCTTCCTACTAAATAAACTACAGTCCTTATTTTTATGAACTATATTATACATTTATCTTTAACCTCAAATCTTGCATCTTGTGGCATGCAGAAACAATCCTGCACATATAAACAGTCCCACTGAAGTCAATGGGAATTTGCTTGTGCACATCTACTTGTTAAGACTGGGGTTTTAATTTGTTCATAACATATCTTGTTAAATAAAGACTCTTCTTATCTGCCCATCTATATACATGCCTTCAGAACAAGAAAAAACAAAAACAAAAAACAAAACCAGAAAACAGACACAGCACGAACATTTTCTTCACAACATAAGCTTCTCGCCATTAAAAACTTGAACTATAGTTTTTACAATAATCATACATATATGATTGTAGAAATATATTGAATGAAACATTCACACACAATTTTTTCAACTCATATAAGTAGAATGAGGATCCCAAAGTAACTCAGATAAATTGTAATATTTTATTTGTAGAATAGAGAGAAAAACTGGAAGAAAAAAAACCTCTATAAACAAAATGATTCTAAAAACTTTTTTAAAGTTCTCTTATTAAAGGTTGGCAGAAATTAGAAGCCACAATTTTGTGACTACTTTTCCTGTGTGTTTAAAAAAAAAGTCTAAAGAGAAAATGCCACATAAAATAAGTCTTAGAAATCATTCCAGGCAAATATGAAATGACAAAAATGTGACAGGGGAAGTACATATTTCAAGTTCTTGAGCTGAGATGTGGCTTGATTTTTTAAGGCTTTGACAAAGAGCATTTGTATTAAAGGAAATTATTTTGAGGCAAACAAGAAAAAAATTATTATTACAAGTATTTCTTATGAGGTGGCATCAGGGCCCATTTTACATAGGCTAGAATGGAATCAAACACCACCTCTCCCAAAACAGAGTAACATACATTATTATTTATAATTTTTAAATGCCCAAAAATATGCAAAGTGCCTCACTAATAAGAGATTCCCCGCAAAAATGGACCCCCCCCGAAGGTTTTACATTTTATGTTGTCATTACTTAGGTATTGTCATATGTGATTTTTAAATGACCTAGATTGGGATATATTACTTTTTAATTTTTTTCAATTTACATTATTTTTTAATAGGCATTTTTATAGGGAAGACTAAAAAAAATGTAAATAAATCAGGTGACGGGGTGAGGGAGGATGTGGCTAAGTGAAAGCAGTAGTGTATGGGGAATGGATAGGGTAGGGAGATGAATGGGAAGAATGGAGAAAATGCACTTGCAAGATGAGGGAAAGATTGGATGGAGAGATTAAGGAAGAGAAGAGGAGGATTAGGGCGGAGCAGACCAGACAGGTGGGGTTAGACAAAGTCATTGTTAATGAAGACTAGAATGCTGAGAGGACCAGTTTTCTGCTGAAGTCAAAGTGTGCATATACTCAATCACCCTGTAACAACCAGATTGAGAGAAGCATAAAGAACAAACAACAATTAGACCAAATGCCAGTGATTCCAAGGCCTGGAGTTAGTGGAAAGCCTGAAAAATATTCTCTCTAAAAGTGACCAATATTGTGCTCACATATAACTAGGCTTGAAAGGATTAGATTTTTATCGGTAAAGATCAGTAAATATGGATTTCACTGTAAATACACAGAATATTTCCATTGGTAATAACTGAAATTTAGGTAAAATTTGTTTAGGCAAAAACAAAAATGCTGCTTGAGATATTATTAGAGCTTGATTTAAGGATATTTACTTTGTATATTTTGACATGTGATATTGACAATTTGTGTTTTAGCAGTTATAAGGCTTTAACTTTTTGAATTTCAATGTATACTGTCATAACTTGTTTGACTTCCTTCGATTGTCTTACCCCCCATAATTTCCTGCAACTGTGATTACTTAAACTGAAAAAGATGAGAAAAAGTGCTTAAAAATAAACATCAATATTATCAGTCAAAATTATTTTAAAAAAATATTAAAAACTGAATTCTGCCAAGCCTATATATAATGGAATAAGAGCCCAGCAGCAAGTCATACCATTTCTAATACACTGTCTGTCCTTTGAACAGGGCCAGCTCCAGCTTTTTTGCCGCCCCAAGTGG